GACACATGGTCTGAATCTTGGGATTGTCCAGAGACAGGACTTGGACTGGATGATCCTTGTGGGTCCCTTCCAACTCACAACATTCTACAATTCCATGACCAAGTTACAGGCACGTAGAAAGGCTGATGATTAAATACTGAAGCCTGTATTTACAAAGCAGAATCCACTTAATGTGATTACTGGAAGTTAAAACTCAGCATGGAAAGAAGTTTTAGTTTGCAACAATACAGTAAACATTTTTAATATGGCAATCTCCCACACAAAGGTAAAAACAGGCAAGTAGCTAATAAACACTGAAGCTGCTTGCAGAGCTTTTCATGTGCATCATGAGTATGTCCTTGTGTAATGAAATGGAAGGTGTTCATATACCAAAACTGAATAGCTTGCAGATCTTGAAGACAGTACCTCAAAGTAAACCCAGACGATCAATAGCCATGGCTGCTCACTGTATGAAATGGTCCTTGGCAGACAGCCATGATGTTCGGCCTCCACAGATCTTGAATTCAGTAGTGTTTCACAACAGACTTGTTAACGGGAGCGACTAACACGGTCATACAGCTAGACCATCAGCCAGCATCATTCTCTTTCAGCTTCCAAGTACAGCTAGTCACTGTACACTGGATTTTGCATATTTCTACATCCAGCTAGTCAGAACATGTATTTTATTGCCTTAGGAAACTAAACAACTCCCACTTCCATCCTCTAAAGTGTTTCTGCAAAGATGTTAACTCAAATGGGAATCCTCATGCAGGCACTTCCCGATTTTAACCATTCCTTTGTATCAAAACCCCTTTTACCAAAAAAAAAAGAGGTATTGTGTTTTCAACAACTATGCCAAATCCACCTTGTTTTCACTCAAGTGTTGATGCTGATGATTTATCTGTCTTTCACACCTGTTTCAGAGATAATGGGTCAACCATGCCACTACTTCAATAGGTGAACTGAGATGGATGCAGAGATGGATGGAAGCTCCTGACTGTGCGCTGCAAGTCACTGAAGTCATGTTCTATCCATTCAGGTGCTTGTGCTTTTACTGCCTGAAAATACTTCCTGTTTACAAACTAGAAGTAACTGAAATTCACAGAATCTCACTGACTGTAGAAATGGTCATCAGAGAGAAAGAGAGAAAGAGAGAGAGAGAAAGAAAGAAAGAAAGCCAGTCATAAATACCAAACACACAGACAAGGGATCTTCTCATTTTCCATCATGAAGTAATGAACTTACTTGGAAGTTTTGATCACTGAAATACTAACAGCATTTAACAAGTAACCAAAACACAAACATCCAACGAGTATCACAGAAATTTAACTAGGAATGGGCAGTTGGGTACAAGGCTGAATTTCACTCAGAGGACTCATTCAGAAAGACACATTAAATCAAGACCAGACTCAGCTGTCCTGTGACAGCTCCTGGGAAGTAAAATATCTTTAAAAATTATGATTTAGTGTAACCTTTTTACTCTGTTTGTCATTTAAGTTGAATCATTCAGTATGAAATAGGACCAGAACACACAAAGAGCAGCTTCTAATATGAGTTCTCTGTCTTGTTAAGCACAGGATGCACTCAACTTCCACACCCAGATTGTGGCCAGCTTCTCTTTGCCTTACTGGAAGTAAGGGACTGGCCCTAGCAAAATTTCTTACTGCAGGGACAGCAATTTTGAAATATATTTCATTGTAACTTTTTACTGGAAGGAAGGTAAATAAGTTGGGTGAAAGATGGAAAATCGAGGCAGAATTAGTTTAATGAAAGAATAAATTTGCATTTTGGCCATTCCCTTCTGCTAAAGAAAAGAAAAAAACCACAACACAAAACCCCAACTGATTGCCACCTTAGAATTCAGCATAAGAAGCCATAAAACAAGCAAACAATATTAGAAATTACACCAGCTGTCTACATGATCTCAGTTCCAATACTGAAGAGGATTGGGAAGCCCATGCATTGTGAGGAGGCAGCTAAAAGAGAAGGAGGTTGAGGAAAGAAGAGTAGCAACTTATGAAGCAAACACTGAAGCTGCAACCAGATTTGTATTGTGGGAGATCTTTAAAGCAGCTACTACAGCACCACAAAGCAGACCAGCCCTACAGCCCTAGCAGTTCAACTGGTGACAGCTCTGGTGGGCAGGGTACTCCCTCTTCTGAAGATGCCTGAAGGCTAAGAGAACTATCACTGCCTGCTGTGACAAGTGCTTGGTTCACTACCCTGTTTTCAAAATACACAGGCCAACAGCTGGCTGACTTACAGGAACAACAACAACAACAACAAAATCACCCTTTTTTGGTCCTAAATCCCCACAGATTTATATTTATATGACTTAATACACCATCAGAAAGCAGTCAGATGTGTGAATGATGAATGGAATCTGCAAATGCTTAAGACACACTTGTTTCAAGATGTCTAAGATAATCAAGCAAGCACTTGCAGAATCTGTGGCCACAGGCCCTGAATAGGATTCCATCTGTCAAATACACTTCTGTATGCAGGTTATCAGTCAGCTGTCTTCTACACCAACCAGAACTAGGCTTTTTTTGAAAACTACTGTAGCTTTCAAAAGAAAAGCAGTTAGTGCTGCTAGCTTCTCTAAACAGCTAAGATCTCCACTAAAATCTTCTGAATTCCAGATGGTTTAAAAAGCAAGGCACTAGATATGTATATCTGCTCTTGACAAGCAGAGTTTCAAGTTAACATCAGACTAGCAAATACAAATTGGTCACATTTTAATAAAAAACAATACTTACAATAACAATGATACTAAAAAAAGAACTGCACAACGAAAATTACTTTATGAACAGTTAAAGCTGCATGCACTGTAAACAGTTAATAAAGTTATGTGAAAGGCAGACTACAATTCAGTAATCAGTGAAATGTAGTTTACCCTTCATGGAATTGGTCCTCAGAGTCAGAATGCACGGACAGCAGTAGCTTACAGACACAAGCACCCCCATTTGCAGGAAAGAGCTTAGAAGTTAACAAGCACTCTGAGCTTCTCTCTCAAAAAGCATTCTCCTCCCCACAAATCCAGTGCTATTCAGTGAGAGTTTTCAAGGTAGGATGCCCAAAGACCAGGTTCTCATCCTTTGAGGTTAACAGTGCCTTGGATGCACAGAACTTCTAAAAATCATGGCTGCTTTTGCAAAGTATTCTCTCTTTAAAACATTCATATTTTTAGAGTCCATGGTCTCCAAACTACTGAATTGTTGTCAAAGTGTATTAAAAAATGTGACTGATTAAAATAAAGTAGGTGTCTGAGCATATTTTTCCATGCTAACTGATCTTCTAAAATCATACTTACTTAGTCAGAAAAGCACATCGTAAAGTGCAAAGGACTCCTTCCACCTCAGGGCAGAAGATTAAAGGCCTAGCCCCACACACAGCAGTATGCTCAAAACTCAAGCTGTTTGGTGGTTTTAACAGCTAGAGCAACATCCACCAGTGCAGTTCACTGAGTTCTTGCTGGCTCATGTCAGTTTCAGTTGAAAATCCCAGGATCAACATAAGGATATGCAAGAAATTCCCCCAGTTTATTGCCTTCTGCATCATAATGGAGCATCCGAAAACAAACATCACAGAAGAAACAAGGATCCTCTGGTGCCAGACTGTCTTTGTTGGTTACCCATCTGCAGGTTACAAAATACAAGTGTTTTCCAGGTGAGTCCAACACATTTGTGACAAACATCGGAACATTTTACCCAAGAGCTGGAGATGGCAGCAACAAACATCAGTAATAATGTTACACTGACCAGTTACTACCTATATTGCATCTCTCCCACCCCTGGCAGATAGCTCTTTTCCAAACTCCACACTTACTCAGTGTTAATCCCAGCTGCTATCTCATACTGCTACAGCAGCAGTTCCTGAGGAACTCCTAAAACCTGTGTAGCTGGTACAGCGCATAACAAAAAAAGAAAAAAACACAAAAAAAGCTCCCCAAAACCCCGGAATCTTCTGGCCGCCCTATGGCCACTTAAGTCATAAAAGATAAATCTGTTTTCTCTGAAGGTAAGAATCTGTGATACGGAGTAGACATGTGACTGACCCAAACGACCCTGAGTAATAACCAAATCCATTTACAAGTCTAAAAGAAGGGCTTGGATGATGCCAACAAGATAAGGAGAGGAGGATTGCTGCAGACTCCAGCAAGCACTGAAGCTAACATGGACACAGCTGCCAGAACAAGGAGGGCGTGCCATGTCACCCAGCAATTAATTTGTGGTGGCCCTCAGAGGCCATGACAGCTCAAGGCCTCTAGTGATTAAAGATGCTATCTGCACAGATTAGAACATGCAGGACAGCCAGCCAAAGCAGCTCTGCTATCCATGGTTTAGCATCTTCCCACTTAAGCTTAGTGCTTAATCCTGGTTTTAATTTAATGCATTTACATCACCTCTAGTAATGCCCTCTGCAGCCCATCTTTCCCCCATATTGACCCTCTGGCTCCACCTCCCCTTATGGCCAAATGCCTCACAGATTACAGCCACTCCTGCAGGCACCCTAGGGACTCTGCTCGGAACACCAGGGTGGGCTCCCATCCCAAGGGGAATTGGCTCTTTGCCTGATTCCAGGGAAGTCTAAGGCCAAAGCAACATAAGAAGGACAGAGCTGCTGTGTCAAACTGAGGCTAAGAGCGTAAGCTGCCCTGGGGGAAAAAACGGGCAGCAGGTGGTTTTGTAAATAAATCGTTAAGATGTATAAAATCAGGGAGCCTGGCCTGGTCTGTAGAACTCACTTAGAGAAATTTCTACTGTGTCTGTTGAAAGGCTTTGTCATGTCCAAGTAAACAGTACTAAAGAGTACAAAGAGCACCGAGTTCACATTCTCCTCTCTTAACTGCAGAAAATCTGTGCATCACAAAAAATTCCTTCAAGTACAGGTGCATAGCACAGACTTTTCAGGTAGAGGTTAGGAGTTTACCTGAGGGAAAGCTATATACCTTTTAAAAATCTCTAGATTTTACTACATTAAAGTTGGACAGATCCATACTTCCCTCTGCCTAGGTGCTAGATTTAATGAAAGCTCTATGCAACTTCTGACAAACTAATTTGAATCACATGTCTTGTCATAGGGGAAAAAAAGCAGCAGTTTCCCCCCAAAATAACATTTTCCAAAGTAATTGACTGAGAGTTGAGCTCTATGTACGCAAAAGAACTTAAGACAAATAATTAACCTTTTTATAATTTCATTTCTTTTGATCATCCTGAATCATCATCTCCAAATGAACACTACCTGCAGGAGGCCTTTTTCTGGACAGGGAGAGGACAACTGCCTGAAGAGTAAAATTGCAGAATACTTGCATGAAGATGATTCACACACTTTATCAAATACATACAGAGCTTTGATTTTTTTATTAGGTTAGTAGCAGTACCTAGAAAGACTTATTTAAGAAGACAATGTAAAAGGATTGAGAACATAGCATACCTGGCTGTGTACATTTTGCACGCAAAGCATTTTCTGGTACATAACCAGTGTTTCTTGGTCAGCAAGGGATAGAGGCTCCTATCCAGGCAGTCATCGTGATGAATGAGCCTCAAGGGAAATAAGTAAATACATAAAATACAATAAAGACTCAGCCACATTGGAATTTTTCTGAACATAAGCAAGGACATTGAAGATAAGGCATGATTTTAAATTCCTGTGTAAACTACAACTAGACTTCTGCTTAGCATTTCCTAACACAGACTAACACCTAGAGATAGACTGCTAGTTGCACCATCCATGGGTTTTACGGTCAGGAGTAAATTCAGTTTGTGTAGTAACTCAGAAGTCTTCAGACCATCTACTTTAGACGGTCTTTTCAAAGCTTTTATCTCCACAGATTAACAGGCAAAAACATCACCAAGTTAATATTTAGAGGCACAAATAATCCTGAGATTATCTACTTGCAACATGTATTATTCTTGGGAGGCACCATTTATTAACAATGCTTAGGTATATCAGGCTTCTGGGAACTGAAAATGATCTGTCACTGACTACAGACAACCAGAGGAGTGCTCTCTCCACCCGTTATGCACTGAGCAGAGTATACACAATAGTTCTACTGTTGATATGGTTTCCCCCTCATAGCTGCTATCACCTTCTCCTTCTCCCCTTTGCCTATCCACCTCAGTCCACTACTTCCACTCCTCTGTTCAGTTCCCATCCACTCTTTTCAGTTCCTGCCCCTTGGCACCAAGGCTAAAGTAACAAGTCCAGGTGACTGCAGCCACAGCTGTTAACAGCATTCTGCTCCCTGGTGCTCCGGAATCTGTGAGCTGCCATGCATCTGTGCTGCATAGAAAGAGCTTTTCACTGTGAGTGTTACTCCTCCCACGCCACAGTCCTAGTTAGAAAACAGTCTTTTTATGCAGGTAAATTATTAAAAAAAAAAATGCAAAGGAGATTACTTTCTTCCTTGCCAAGGTAGTTAAATGTACATGGAATAAAATCTTAAATAAGCTCTGTAGAAAGCAGGAGAACAATCTTAAAATTAGTCTAACAAATATTCAGCATTTAATGTCTGAAGTTTGTCCACAGAAGGCCTGCTTTCAGCTACCCAAGGACTCCCAAAGAGCAAAAACTTACCTTATATCTGTGATGATTACGATGTGCTCACAGTTCCCTTGATGGCAGAAAAGGTATGGAAATCCAATTTTGAGGGATAAATCATTAAACATGTAGTCCTCCATTTTAACAGACTGAAGATTTCCATAGCCTCTGTCATGAGATTCTGACCACTCGATAATTGTTCTGAAAACAGAAAGGCCATCACCATAGTAATGCTAGGAACTGTGAATGTACAGAAAAGGAAGGTCTTGGAGGACATGTAGAATTCTTCACTGGGGCACAGTTAAAAAGAGGGAAATCAAAATAGCTCACAACATTTTGTAATAATTTAAGGTAACTGCACAGAAATACTACAATCTCACAGAACTGTGCACTGTTCCTGTGGAATACCTGCCTTTAAATCCCCACCAGGAAGCTTCCTGAGGTGTTTTAGTCAGAATGCACGTTCCTGATGGCACCCATTCAGGTCAGGTTGTTTACAGCACAACAATTCTCAAGTATTACAATAATTCAAGCTACAGCAGGTCATTTTTGCTCCCTTGGTCAATAACTTTGTTCTAAAGTATTAAAAAGGGTTTTTTTAGTTTTTGCCAAGAAGAAACACAAAGCTGGCAACTGCACAATTATATTTCAAAAATTTAGCACTGGAAGGGCACTGGCTACTGTTGCAATTATTTCTTGGCTTTTCAGAACATTCCTGCATACAAGGCATTTCACTTCTACAAACTGCTTATGTTATCACGAGCCCTTCCATGAAGATCATTGTTGCTCATGGACAGAAAGAGAAGGAGCAAAATAATTAATTTCTCTTAAGTCACACACCAAGAGTCAAGACATATCAAGAACAGAGTCCAAACTCACAGCTCTTCCATACCATTCATTTTAACATCTTGATCTCCTAAACATCACTAGTGCATCAGTAAGCCCATACTTCTTTAAAATATACTATTATGTAGTTTAAATGGATATGACTTGTGCTCAACCAGTGTGAGCTATAGTTTCAAACAAGAGACACCTGATGCTCTTGGCAATGTCATCTTAGATTTCTTTCCCAACAGTCACACAGTCCCCTTGTTGATTTTACTACCATGAAGGCATCCAGTGTATTCTCAAGAGCGAGCAGAACAACTGACTTCCACACAGCTGAGCTTGTTGTCTTTCTGACCCATCTTCTACCTCACAGGCAAGACTTTTGGTGGTCATCACAACCAGGGAGGGCACTTAAAAAGTCCAAACAGACTGGCACTTGTCACCTTCCACAGCAATCCCGTTCCAACAGAGAAAAATAGGACTTGAAGGGAAGAAAATGCATTCAACCCCTTTTCAACAGGGAAGTGAGTGGAAGAAATAAGTAGAGCAAATAAACTATGTAAAAATTAATTCAACATGACAAGATAGGAAGAAAAGTCCAGTCTAGCTTCATACACTAGGGATTCTTGTCTTAAAAACACCACAAATTATAAACAAAATGAAATAAATTTCCTGTCCCTTAAAAGTTTCCGTAGTCAACGTCTACAAACACTGTACCTGCTCAGATCTCTGCACTCTGGGTATCTTTTATCATTATAAAAGATGCCTTCAAAATAAAAGAAAGCAGATTTGTACAGATCCTGAGAGAGAGAGAGAGAGAGAGAAAGAAAGTCTGCATTAGTGTTACAAGAGATTAAACAGCTTAAACAAGAACATGCCAAAAAACAAACACTTTAAGTATCTAAATATGTTAAGAGATCTCATTCTACAGGTTTCTAAGGACAGCTTTGCACTGTTTTAAGATGCTGATGTGACAACAATGCTCATACAATTGCTGGCTATGCAGTTGCTCTGCTCTTATTCTGAAACCATTACAGGTTATTTTAGTGCTCTTCTCTTATTACTATCCCCATCATGGCAGTTACCGATTTCAACAAAAACACAAAACAAGAACACAAGCATAATTGCACAAATTAAGTAACTAAACAGCATTGACTTAAAAAACGACTAATAATATTTTTAAAAATTAGCAAGATGTAGAGGGTTGACCTTGGCTGGCTACCAGACCACTCGCCCAGTTGCTCTCTCACTCCCTCTCCTCAACAGGACAGGGGAAAGAAAGTAAGACGGGCAAACCTGTGGCTTGAGATAAAGGCAGTTTAATGAGAAAAGCAAAGGCCACATGCAGAAGCAAAGCAAAAAGAGGAGATTTATCTTCTACTTCCCATCAGCAGGTGAAGTCCAATCACTTCCTGGGAAGCAGGGCCCCAGCACACATAGTGGTTGCTTTGGAAGGCAAATGCCTTAAGCATGAATGTGTCCCCTCTTCTTTTCCTCCAGCTCTTAGTGCTAAGCACATCACATGGCATAGGATATCCCCTTGGCCAGTTTGGGGCAGCTGTCCCAGTTGTGTCCCCTCCCAGCCTCTTGCCCACTCGCATCCCAATGGCCTTGGGGGGACCTGGAGAGCCAGCCTCAAGGCTGTGCAAGTGGCCATACCCAAAACACTGCTGTGTTAACTGTTCCTGCCTAGCCAAAAATGCAAAATCAAACTCCGAACGTGAGCTGCTGTGAGGAAAGTTAACCTCATCCCAGCCAGAGCCAGCACACCTGATCAGGACAGACCACACCACAAAATACTTCCTGCTGGAATGACAGAGAATTATTGCAGCCCCGTCCCCGGCATCTGCGCGCAGGCTGCACGCACACGACAGGCACGTGGGAGCAGCCCCTGGTCATAGCTATGTAAACAATACAGACATGCAATTTTGGAAGGTCCAATCACCTCACTTCTGGGGGCTCAGAAGAAAATCTAGCATCCTTCAAAATTCCCCCCTAATTACAAAGTTTGTCACATGCAGACAGGCCGTTGGTACCAGTCAACAATTTATGGCACTCATACCAGCAGTGCAAGAGTCATCAGATTCCAAATTATCTCAAGAAACTGAGCTAACCCCTGAGCCTCCATTGCACGTGTCATAAATTCTTCA